GTGAACCTATGACACCTGTGTCAGAGGTGACACGCGAACTCATTTTTTTGGTCGATTTTTCTTTGTTAAATGGCATTTAAATATATAAAATAAATATCAAAAATATAAATCTTTGTGTTACTATGGTTGCAAATATCAAAAAATGTCTGTATGTGACCCGGCACCAGAGTTAAGGTAGGGCTTTTCAAAATGCTGGCACGCCGAGCTCAGAAGGTTCGCCGTCACGGTCAGAGGCTTCACGCCTCTGGGTTGGCCAACCAGGCCTTCTGCTGGTCTCACCTGGGCTCGTCCATGCTGCAGTCTTCAGCTGGAGGCTCAGCTGGGACGTCTGGATGGCTTGGCCTCGCTGTCTCTTTCATCCTCAAGCAAGTTAAACTGGGCTCCCTCACACGATCGTATGTGCCCTGACCGCGGACTCAAACAGGCAACCCCCTGGTGCATAGGTCAGTGCTCAACCCCTGAGCCACACCGCTGGGCTATTTAGAGTATTTTTATGAAGGTATAATTGACAGCCATGTAACTCACAAAATCAAGCTATAAAAGCTCTCAGCACACAAAATATCCCCACACCATAGTCATCTCTTCCTTCAGTCCTCAGCCTCTGGCAACTATTGATCTATTTTCCATCCCTACAGTTTTGCCTCTTTCAGAATTTTATATAAATGGAGTCATGCAGTATGTAGCCATCTGAACCTGGCTCCTTTCATGTAGCATAATGCATTTGAGATTCATTCCTGTGTTGCATGCCTGTTTCATTCCCTTTCATTGCTAAGGGCTATTCCATTGTATGGATTATGTACCTGTGTGTTTATCCACTCTGAAACTTAAGGCATTTGGGATATGTATCAGTCAGGGTTCTCCAGAGAAACAGATCCAAAAGGAGGTCATATGTATCTTTATATGTATACCATCTGTATCAATGGAAAAAGATAATTTGTCTTAAGCAATTAGCTCATGTGATTGTTGGGGCTGGTAGGCCAGCAGCTGGAGACTCATGAAGAACTTAAGGCAGAATTCCTTCTTTTCCAGGAAACCTGTTTTTACTCTTCAGACCTTCAACTGATTTGATGAGGCCCACTCACATTATCGAGTGTAATCTCCATTACTTAGAGACAACTGATTGTAAATTTTAATCACACCTACAATAGACGCCCACAGCATCTGGACTGTTCGACCAAACAACTGGACACTATAGATTTCTTCACATCCTCACCAACTCGTGTTATTTTCTGTGGGTTTTAGACAGCCTTTCCTCGTGATTATTCCTGATCACCTTTTTAAGGTGGCCCCTCTTCCTCCTATATGTTAGTGTCCTCTCCTGTTTTGGCCTCTTAGCTTCTAGACCCTCCTCAGGTGACACCTTCTCTCATATTAAGATTCAATTACACCCACAGATGGACTACCCCAAAAGCCAGGCTGGTCCCCTACATGAGCTCCAGACTTCTTTATCCACTTGTACATTGGTTGGGCAGCTTTAAATGCACACATGATCGGCAAGTGCAAAAGCAAACTAACTTTCCCTAAAACCTTTCTTTCTCCTGTATTTCCCAACTCAGTGAAAGGCCCCACAACCCGGGAGGAGAGCCAAGCCGTAAACCTCGGAGTCATCTCAGAATTTCCCTTTCTCCCACCTGTCTTCCCCCGTTATCTTGAATCCGTAACTTCCTTTTCCCATTGCTACTGGCGAAAATCCACTCAATCTGTATCTCCTTATCTCTTGCTGGACTATTGTTTTATTTTTGTGGGTTTTTTTCTTTTAAATATATTTTTATTGATTTCAGAGAGGAAGAGATAGAAACACCAATGATGAGAGAATCATTGACCCGCTGCCACCTGCACGCCCCCTACTGGGAATCGAGCCCACAACCCAGGCTTGTGTCCTGACGGGGAATCAAACCGTGTCCTCCTGGTTCACAGCTCGAGGCTCAACTCCCGAGCCACACCAGCTGGGCTTTTTTCTTTTGTTCTTCTTGCCTGGGTTATTGACATTATGTCCCAGAACTCGGCCTGAAATCAGTCGTTCCTATAATAACCCATACAACTGCTTGAGTTCCTGCTACAATACACATCTGGTACACTTCTCTGCTTAGTACATACGGAAGAGTAAAGGGCGGTGGAGACGAACCCACCAGGATTCAAACTCAGGAAGTTTGGATTGGCGCAGGCGTAGAGAGGTTGGCCAGTGCCCGGAGGAAGCTCTGACCACCCAGGTCACTAGACCTCCCTGCGAGAGAACCTGCTACCAGGTGTGTAGGTAGTGGGCAGCCTCCAGGTCTTCCCCAGGTTAGAAGACAGCCGCTGTATACCCGGTGTAGCATCCACGCAGAGACCAGGCCTTCCTGGGCTGTGACTGGGACAGCAGGGGTGCTCGAGGGGCAAGCTCTGTCCGGGGCTCCCCAGTGGCCTAGCCAAGGCTTTCTTGGAGCTGCCCCCAGTCTGAGGCAATTCCTCAGAAATCCGCCTTCCTCCCTTCTCTTTCCACAAGAGTCCAGCCTGTCCTCTGGGCGTTCTCGCCTTCCCCCGGTTCTCCCCTGGGGTGGGGATGGGGGTGGGAACCAAACAGTTTGGCCCCGGGTCTTGGCCTCTGTGGGCCTTTGCTGTTGCCACTGACTCTTAATGGGGCTCAACTCCCGTGTCAGGGTCTCTGAAGCCTTGCACGTTGAAACCCGCCCTCCCCGCACATGGACATTAGCCGGCTTTTGCTGCATGCAGCTGGCTCCCCTGGCAGACTAGGATTCGGTGGTGCCAGCAGACAGCGGCTTGCAGAGTAGGCCTCCGCACGTTTGTAGAACCAACTCTCAAGGCACTGTTTTATTTATTTGTTCGTTACTCCTCACCTGGGGGGGGGGGGGAGCGCGGAGAGAGAGGGAGATCCTTTCACCGATTGGCTGGCTGCCTCTGGCGTGCACGCTGTCCAGGGGACCCGAGCAAACCCGCAACCCAGGTACGTGCTCTTGACGCGGGCCGACGCCCTAACTCAAGGTGCGGTTTTAACTGGGACCGCTAAGCTGGGGCTGAAAGACCCGTCCCCGTCCCCACCCTTCGTTAAGCTACTAGAGGGGCATGACCTCCCCACGTTCTCCTAGAGACGGCTGCGGGGAGGCGGTGGGAAGAGTCGAGTGAGCTGGGGGGAAACAAACGGCAGGGCGAGAGCCAGCCCGCACGTGGCTTCCCGTGCCCACCGACTTCCTTCCCCGCCTACCGGCCGGCTTCCATCGGCACAGCCTCAAGTCTGGCACGTCTCTGCCCACAGGTTTTTTCCACTCTAATAAGTAAATAAAGGGTGGAGGGCATTACCACTGAACCTTACGCCGCCTCAGTGAGTCATTTTAACGGAGGACTACTCTTCTTACCCTTACCAATGAGATCATGGAAACCTTTAAAGCCGGCTACCGAAGCCAGGACACCTCCTTGCGGAGAAACGCGCCCGAAGGACGCGGCCGGCCCTAGGGAAGCCCGAAGGGCCCAGCAGAAAGCACCTCCCGGCTCCTCCCCGCCCGAGGTCTGCCTGGGCGACTCCGGCCCCTGGCGCGGGGCGGCGGTTGGTGTCCGCGGGCCAGCCGTTCGGACTAACACAGGGCCGAAGAGACCTGCCGGCTCGGACACCATGCGGAGCCAGAGCGCTGCCTGAGCCGCAGTTGAAGAAACCGCTCTCGGGCTGGACGGAGGCGGAGCAGCAGCTCAGGCCGAGCCAACAGAAGAGCCCTAAAATGCCTGGAGCAGTCCTCGGACAGCCCCCAGCGCGAGGCACTCTGGGATTTGTAGTTTATGTCCGGGACAGCGTTTTCGCCCGCTTCGTTTCCCAGCCTTTTAACGTCGCTTTTATTCTCCCCCTCCGGTCCCAGCACTCCGACTTCCTGGTCGCCGCACGTCCTCACGTACTACAGTACCCAGAAGTCTCTTCTTCGCGTCCCAGCGCGCGTCTCCTTTGGACTACAGTTCCCAGAAGCACTTTGAAGTGCTGCCCTCTCTCATTTCCAGGACCACAATTCCCAGAGACTTCGGTTTCACGGCGGTTCTCCTCTCACTCTCTTCTTGAGTTGGCTGGGCTTCGGCCGGCCAGGGGGCGCACAGCGACGACGTGAGCCCTCGTGACCGGACACACGGCTTCCTCGGCGGCCTGTGCTTCTCCTCACTTAGTTATCCCTTTCACAGGCCGTCGCGGCTGGCCTGAGCTGTGACCTGGCGGGCCGCGCCTGCGCTCTGCCCCGTTTCCTGCCTGGCTGGTGGCGGCGGCCATTTTGTTCATCCTCCTCCTCCTCCTGCTCCTCCTGGTTGGAGCGCAGTGTCCGGAGCGGGCTGGGGGGAGAGAGCCCGTGAGCAGGGTTCGGTGTCCTTTCCTTGTCCCCAGCTGGTGCCCGAAGCCCCCCTCCCCTTCCTCCCCGCCCCCTCCCCTCCCCGACCCTGCCCTCCCCCTTGTCCCGGGATCTCTCCGTCGCACCCACCATGATGGAAGACGACGGGCAGCCCCGGACTCTGTGAGTACCCGAGATGAGGGGGTGCCAGGCGCCGCGAGGCCCGGGCACCGCGGGTCGCTGTGGGAGGGGAGCGGCAGGGGAGCGGGGCCGAAGCCGAGACCCTCGGCGGCACCCTGGCTGGGGTGGCGCGGCCGCGAGTGCATTCCTCGTTTGTCCCCTTTTCCTCGGGAAGGAAGCCCTCCCTTCCCCCCACGGCCACTTCCCGGGGCCGGTGTCGAGCTCTTTCTGTCGCGCCTTCTTTGCACACCTTTCCCAGGCCAGTTTCTGCTCGGCAGAGGCGGTCGGGCCCGGAGAGCTCCCGCTAGCCCGCTGCTCCCGGGTCCGGGGCTGAGCCAGGAGCTGTCCCCACGGGGGCAGGGCCTGGTGGGGGTGGGACTGGGGGTGGGGCCGCCGCCGCAGCCCCCGGGGCCCGGAGGAAGGGGCGCTCACGCGCTCCGGGTCCCCGGCTCCGGCCGCCCCGTCTCCTCCCGAGCGGAGCTCCCCGCGGCCGCCGGGCTCCCGGCGCTCGCGCCCCGTCCCCGGCTCGGCCCCCACGTGCCCCCGCCCACGCTGTCGGAAACGCTCGCCCGGCGCCCGCTACTTCGGGGCGCGCAGGGATGCCTCCCGCCGCGGGAGCATCTTGCGCTGCTGGGATAACGAAGTCTCCTTCGAGCGCTCCCTGCGCTGCCCTGACAACCCCGGGTCCAGCTGCTTTTGTCCTCGCGGCGTTGCCTCTTCATCTGTCCAGACCCTCGGGTTGGATAACACGGGGCCTTTCACCCACCGCGCATTGTGTGTCGTCGGCACGCGCTTTCTGCCCGCCCGCTCTTGCTCGTTACCTGGAGCCCAGTCTAATGAATGAATTTCTTCTTCCCACCGCTGGCCGGAGTGTCTTTCCTACCGAAGAGTGATGACTCAGCACTTGCATTCCTTTCTGGGTAGTGTGGGCACTCCTTTCTCTTCCCTGCATTAAAAAACAGAAGTCTGAGTAACTTCGAGTTCCATGTTTTATGTTGGGCACCTCGGGTTTTCCTCGCCTCTCGGAGCTCAGCGCCCACCTGGAGTCCAGGGAGCCCAATCGCTGCTTTGTTTTTCCTCTTGCCTCCGCCTGGCGTTGCTAGGGTCATAGTTCACCTGGCTCTGCGATTTCATGGGCACGTTAGTTTTTGGGGAGCAGATGCAGGGGGACAGGTCCTCAGGAAGGCCGACTAGCTTCTCATCTCTGGGGTCTTAGCAAAGAAAAGCTGGCTCAGTAAAGCAGAGAGACGCCTGTACCATAATCGATACAGGCTTGGCGTTTCCTTTTGTTTTTTTTTGGGGGGGGGGGGGCTTGCACTTTTTCATGCCTATTGCTCTGCCTCACTAAAGCAGTTGCCATCCTGGTTTGAGAATTTGAGGCCAACTTCAGCACCAAATGCTTGAATGAAAAGCCTGCTTAGTGAAACTTTTATGTTTTGTTTTGTTCCGTCTTCCATTTTGGCCTTCTTTTCCCAGAAAGGGAATTGGGACAAACTTGAAATTTGTTCTTTAACATCTGTTGAAGCCAAGGCTCGATATTTAGTTAGTGTGTGTTTTGATGGAAGCATCTGGGAAAGCTGGATTTGGAGCCCAGCTAGCGTGTATTTAACAAAAATTTAACTTTGTATTGCTCTGGCTGGTGAAAGGCCTCCAGTTCCATTTTTGCAGGCTCCATCCCTGGTTAGGGTGTGCAGCAGACCTGTTTCTCTCTCACCTGGGTGTTTTTCCCGCTCCCTTTCTCTCTCTCTAAAATAAATAAAAACTTTTTTAAAAGGTTACGTTGTATCTAAAAATCTGAAATGTCATGATTGCATCATAATAGCTGCTGTATAATTGGTAAATTCTCATGGCATATTTCTCACTATTTAACTGTTCCTTATTAAGAGAAATTCTTGTTTTTTGCCGTGCTAAAAATATACTATTTCAATACTTTTAATTCATATATCTCTGCATCTGTCTTGTCTTCATCTCCATCATACCTTAGACTTTCCTCAGTTGACTAATAATAATAAGCTAACTTTTTTGTCTCTTCTTTCCGACCTGTACTTTCTTCTTTCTCCCAAACACACTGACTTGATCTGTGTTTACAGTTGTCTAAAGTGTGACATGTATGCACGTAGGTAAGGAAACGTCTTGAGCGCTGATGTACATGCTTACTATTCTGTCTTCCTTTTTCTCCTCCCACTATTCTCATGGGAAGGGTTTTTTTTTTAGACAAGGACTGCCACATCTTCCTAGGTCTTACCCTGCAGCACTTAGTTCACTGCCTGGAAAATAAGAGGTATTCAATATTTTACATTGATTATACTCTTGTCATTAAATTAGTATTAAGTCCTTTTTTAAAGAAAAAAGTCCGATTGATTTAAAATTATAGGCAGACTTGATTGTCATATGCACATGCTGCTGTCTGTTGATTTTATATATATTTTAAAACCTTCAAATGTAAAATTTTGAAGTAAAAGCAGATGTTTCACAATTGGGATTTTTGGGGGGATCAGATTTTAATTAAAAAAAACAATGCATAGTAGTTTTAAGTGTTTATTTTACATATTACTCCTGAAAGGGTTCTTTAGATACAAGTAATGTAATAAAAAACGTTTGAATGTGACTGTAGAGATTGATATCTAGTAGGGTTTTATTTTGTTTATTTATGGAGCTCCTTTTATTTAACATTGTGATCTACGGATTAGGTTTTCAAGTGGCCAGTATGTTTTAAAAGATAATGTACTCTGTTTCTTTAAAATGCCTGTGTGTTACTAGTGAGGTTTTTTTCCTGCAGACACACACAAGCTAAGACATATGGTTCTATCATCAGAAAACAATATGGTGTTTATAGCCTAGGTAGGTCTTTAAATATTCATTACCTACAGTATTACTAATTTATTCGATGGTATTTAAAGTGGTATAGAATTGCTTTGATGTTGAGCCTAAAGTTTTTCAAATAGTTGCTTTAAAGGTCTGTTTTCTGCTGTTCTCCATTCTCATTTGACATTTATTTTGGGGTAATATGTATTGGGTAACTTGTGATTTAAAAAAAGCAGACAAATGAGATCATGCTATGTAAAGCTGATGTTGGAACTGGACTGCCTGAGAGCTACCTTATAGCACCCACATTTCAGACGTGCTGTGGGTAGCTCTAAATGCAGTGATTTGAGCCATGGTCTATCTGAATCTGCAATCAACATTCAGTTATAACGGTGTTCTGTGATAGTTTACTTTCTTCATCCATCTGATGCACCAAAATGAGTAGAAATTGTGGATCTGGGATTATACCTTGTTATGCAATGTCATCCCTTACAACTGTCCTTCCTGATACTCAAACGGAGGAAATAAACCAATGATTTAGACTATAATCTGAATAAGGGCAACAGCAGAAGAAAATACTATTAAGTTCCATTATAATATTGACTAGCTACACCATGGATTTGCCTGTATTAATGGCTGTAATTAAGCCTTTCAACTTAATATTGTCTGCTTATTTAAAATGTATTATCAGTGTATCTTATGTAGTTGATCAATTCACCTGTACCTTTCCTGCACCTTGCCTCCTACCTTAAATGAAATATTGTCAGATTGATAATTCATTAGATGCCCACTGAAGGGTATTGTTGCAAAATCTCCTCTTGTATAGGAACTTCTCAAGAACAAAAGTAAAAATATTATTTTATTAAAGAAATTTAGTTATAATATCTTTTGTAAAAATGCTGGTAATTTCAGCCCTGATAGGGCTACCCTTTTCAGAATAAGAAAACATCCAATGGTGAAATGTGTGATTTGTCTTTTCTCTGAAAGGCATGATGTTCTTAACTTAAAATTCTGCCCAGTGGGACATAGGAAATAGTTTAGCAATGTGAACTTTTGCCTACTGTGCAACCGCGAAGTTGCTAGTCTTAAATTGAATTTTAACCCTGATGTTAGGGATAAAGGCATCATTTTCCACTTTTAATGCTTTAGTTCCTACAGTTCCTGTTCTTAGAAGATAAAATAGACCTAAGGTATGCCTTTCTTTTTTCTTGAGTTAAAAATCGTTTACTCTGAGTTGACCTCTCAATACAAAATTTGAGTCATTTGTCTTTTTCTGTTATTTTATATATGATTTTTGAGTCGACATTTTATATTTAAACACTTGGAACTTTAGAATAAATGGACTGCTTCATAACCAGAGCAGAAAGAAGTTTGCTGCTTTACTACAGAACTTTTAGTGGAGATATTTGAAAAATAGCAAACATTTTAAAACTAGGTTTTTCTATAAGTATTTAATGTCATTCTAAATGTTGGTTAACATTTTTGCTCTTTGGCATCAGTGCTTGAGATGTAAGTTAATATATCTAAATGTGCCTCTAGAAATTCTTCAAAATTGTAACGTATTGGAATAGATTGGCTTGAAGTAAAAATTCTATGAAACAGTAACAGCTTTGATTGTGACTGTTCTATATGGAAGGTAATTAATGCCTGTGCATCAAATCAAGGTTTTAAGCAGTAATACAAATTTAAAACTATTTAAAAATTGTTATACCACAATGATAGTTTTGTTTTAACTTTGTTACTTGTTAGCTTCAATATGTGAAAATTAGTTTTATCCATGCCAATTCTCTTAAAAATGAGCCAACTAGCACTTTATGTTAGATGAACATAGCACGCAGGAGACCAGGGTTATTTGTTCACTTTCTTTACAGAGAGGTCTACCTTGTACAGAAAATAAATTATTCCATCCATGATTGCTCTCAAACCCCCTATGAGTTGAAGAGGGACGGGTAGTTGTCTAGCTAACTCATACTGCTGGAAGAGGTGTGTCACTGTATGCCCTAGCAATGGGTCTGTTCTACTTTAATTGTAAGGAAAAGATGGTATGGGTGGACCTAAACAAGTTTGTCACTGGGTTAGTCTTCTACTAATTAACATTGGGCTTGTGTTTCAGTTTTAGAGCATATAAATTAAAGATATTAGTACCCATTGCAATGAAATTCTTAGCTGAACTGGAAAGTGGCTATTCATTCCTAATCAGATAATTTTCTTTATTACACGTAACTTTACCTTTCTCAGTCTGTTTTCTCCTTTCAAAGTGTTCCATCTTAAAGCAGTTACGTATTTAATATGTTAATAGATGCAAAGCTTATTTTGGTCTCGGTACTAAGTTTCCATATGTTTCATATTAGGAAAATAAAAACGTATGTCCATTTACTTTCCAGAAGAAACTGTTAATTTTTACAAATATTGTTTGCTTGGTGAGGTTCATAACAGGCAAATTATAGGAATTACACTGAGTACCAGAAAGACTTAAAAGCTTGACAATTAAGTAAGCTAAATTACAATAAATCCATGGTACAAGAAAAACCAAGGTAGTCATCTCTGGGTGATGGTGTTCTTTTTTCCTTTTAAAAATTCATCAGTGTTTTAAACTTCTTGTTAGATAATGTTTTTTAAAATATATTTTTATTGATTTCAGAGAGGAAGGGAGAGGGAGAGGGAGATAGAAACATCTATGATGAGAGAGAATCACTGATCAGCCGTCTCCTACACGACCCCCACTGGGGATCGAGCCCATAACCCAGGCATGTGCCCTGACCGGAATCGAACTGTGACCTCCTGGTTCGTAGGTCGACACTCAGCCACTGAGCCATGCCGGCCAGGCTGTGTTTTAAACTTCTTATGCAATATATATATATGTACTCAATTTATAAAACAAACAAAAACCAATCCCAACTCTTTAGGCATAGTCAGAAGTATAGCCGTATTTGTCTTAAATTTTCTCAGAGTTTCTAAAGAAGTCTTTATATTTGCTTTATCTAGATAAATGCGTATTTTGTTGATTATGATGTGTTTTAGGCTAGGAAATTTTATTATTTTACTCTGCTCTTCTAAAACAAAATGAGACATAATATCAATAACAATTTTATTTAGCAAGACAAAACAAACCCCTCTGATTTCTGTGTGTTTTGCTATAAC